AATTATCGATTCAGAAACCATCGCTTAACTCGAATATAAAGGTCTAACTCCACCTTGCTTTAAAATTATTTACTAAAATAATTGCCAGGGTTGTAATTTTTGTGATACCTCACATATTTTTGCTTCCTTAATTGATTTTGCTGGTAGGGTTCACAAACCTCCCCATAATTGTATATAAAAATCCAACCTCTCCCTGTTTCAAAGTTATCAAATTTTAATGAAAAAAATTCATCCCTGCTTCAAAATTACGACTGAATTGTGCGTTTAGAAACCTGGTGTACCATGGACAGATCTTATTTACGAAAATAGTAATGATAAAGTGAGTATAATTTTATCATTAATTGTAATTTAAAATTTTATTTTAATTGTGTTTTTTGCGTCCATCTGATAGGCACGGTTGTAAAATTGTATAATGGTTGATAGCTATGCCAATTACCTTATCTTAATTTTCTAATTTTTTACATGATGTAAATCGATTTGTACATATCTTAAAGTTCACTTATAGGTTACAATGTTTTTCCCTCGGTTTTTCCAAAATTTAGTGTGACTATCAGTATAACGAATTCACCACACTTTCTTAAAAACGCGTTTGTTCTGTAGGATTTTTACGTGACGTAAATACCTATTGTTTTGTTGTTTATGTATTCGTCTAAATATAGTGCTACTGCTGATTGATTAGCTTCTGTCTCGGGGGGGATAATTTTGCTGCAGATTTTTAGGTACCTTTTGGGTTTTAAACCAAAAACTAACAGCTCTGAGATCTCCTCTACGATTTTGAGTGAGATGTAATTTTAGAGTAATATTAAAGGTATGGTGAGGGGGGATACAAGTTTGTTTTGTAATGGCCTTAATCCCATTTTTGAAATTAAAAGTTTCTAAATTGTTTAAACTTTCCTTTAATTAATATCATCTTGTGTATTCTACTAACAGCTCATTGTATTTCTGGTACTTTCTTGTACTGCAAATCCGTTTGCTCGGACCATTTAATCTCGCATGTAATTATCATATAATAATAAAACAAGAAGTTCCAAAAATTCGGTAGGGCATACAACTCTTCTACCACAGATGGTGCTGCAGTTATTGACACATCATTTTAAAGCTTATCCAATTCGCTAACCAATTCTGACATTAATTTTAGTTTAATGGATTTGTTTATAAAATCTGCACGTACCGATTACAAATTGTAAAGTTGTCCGGCATTTTCTAATTTTTGCAATACATTTATGCTTATCACGGCGGATTGGCGGAAAATTTCACTGCAAAAAATCGTATCTGTAGTAATTCGCGGCTACGTGATGTTGAACGCCCTAATGACTTTAAAATGATGTATTTTAACCCGTGTGAAGATAGCAGCCAAAATGCCGAAACCGAGTGAACGACCAGTGGCATCGTTTACCGTAAAAAAACAAAATCGCGCACGCGCCTCGCATAGCAGTCATTTTTCAGCAGCCAAACTAAAGTTCATTATAGATCCCTCTTTAGGTTCACATTCTAACATGCATTAGGCTATTCCGAGGGCTATTCGCATTCGGTATTGACACTAAGTATCTCCAGAAAAGTTGTCAATCATTTACCGCCCATCTCACAGGGCGAAATATACCCTCAAAGTGTAAAAATTCATATAGCACCCTTAGAAAGAAGCTTTCACATTCTAACATTTATTATGCTATTCGTATTGACCCGAACTATCTCCAGAAAAATTGTCAACCACTTACTGCCCGTCTGACAGGGTGAAATCAAACCCTGAGGTATAAAAAATTCATGCAGCTCCCTTAGAAAAAAGGTTTCACATTCTAACAGTTATTAGGCTATTCGCATTCACATTAAGGATCTTCAGAAAAGTTGATCATCAGTTACTGCCAGTCTGATAGGGTGAAATGTACTCCCAAAGCAGGGGTTGGAACCGGAACCGAAAAGAACCGATACCGGAAACGGAACCGGTGGCATTTATGAGTCTCTCACTTGGAATCGGAACCGTTATTTAAGAAATTATGATAAGCGAAACCGAGTATATTATAGTGCCAGTTCGGTTTTTCCTGTCTTTTCTGGTAGAATAGACATGACTATGACGTATGTCAAAAAAGTCAATGTATAAACTTTGCTATTAAAGAGACTTACTCACTTACTTGTACTTGAACTGAAATTTATAAAGTGTAAATTTATACCACGAGCACGAATTTCACTATTTATCACTTCGGCATCGATAATCGAACTTCTATTAAATACATATCATTTTGCTTATATAGCAAACGAAAAACTTCTAGAGAATTCTAGAGTCAGAATACCATACTTGCTGAAAAGTAAACGTCCGCTTTCAATCTTTATCGTCCGCGACTAATCCTTTATCTACTTCACGGCCAAAATTAAAATCTTGCCTTGTGAATTACGTTCAGCGTTGTAAAATTTGCAATTAATTTCAAAAGCCAAAAATCAGAATTCTCACTATTATTCAGTGCTGCCAGATTAATTTCTGCCAACTTATAAGTATAACGATAATAATAAACAAATATAAAATATTTTAGAGTGTCAAATACCAAAAATGATTCAAAAGCAGTAAGAGGGTTTAAAAAAAGGGAAGTAGAAAAAGACAGGCAGTTGACAGAGGTTAAATGAATGCATAAGCTAAAAAATTAATAATATATTTGCTGCCAGGAGATCAATAACATTGATATGAAAGGTCTTTAAATCTGCAATGCGGGCCGCCATGATTTATTAAAACAAAGATGAGATGTGGCTGAAATGATGTTGAGGTGGACGATGGGATAAACTAGGAGTAATTCGAAATGGCACATTAAGGGAGATGAGCGAAGTGACTGAAGTCGCAATGAGTTGGAAATGTAATGAGAAGAGAAGGGTGGGTAGAATGCTGATTGAGGGGAGAAGGCGGCGAGAAAGACCAAAAAGGAGGGAAGGATGTCTTAGAAGATTTAAGAGAGGGGTTGGATGAAGAGCATGTGTGTGGGACAGGAGTCAGTGAAAAGAGAAAAGCACAACAAGAAAAGATTTTTCATAGGTTCCAATAGTAAAGGGTTTGGGTGCATAAGGAGGTTTATTAGAAATGCTTTCGGTACTCTCGTGAAGTGAGAGAGGAAGTGGGCCGAGATTTTTCGGCACCAAGTATTTCGGGAACGTCAGTGGTATAATACGAGTAAAAACGAGTTTTGATACATTAAATTCTGGAAAAGGTACATTAACACTTTGAGGACATATTCAAAACCCGTCTGGTGCTCTGGTAAAGTTGGCCATGATTTTTGGAAAGAGATTTTCCGAAACGGCAGAGATACAATAAAAATGATGGTTGGTACAGTATAAGGTGCCTTGAATTCAGAAAGAGATACATTAATAGTTTTTTCGGAACTTGTCTGGTTTTCTCGCCCGCATAAAATGAGGAGTCCCCAGTCAGCATCAAACGTTGCAATTGATATTATCATTCCTTATCTTATAAATAACGTGAATAAAATTAACATGGGTGTTATTTTCGGCAAAGCTTGAAAATTACACTCCCTAAAGCCTATATGTATTAATTTTATTGCCACTATTTAAGGGATGATGCGTGTAGATTTAATATCCATCTCAATATTTCAATAATTGGTGTGCAAACATCCCTAATTTGGATTTATTTCTTTCCACTACGTTCACTTAAGAAACGTACCGCCCATGTTGGAAAATTATTTCTAAATTTGCGTTATTTAAGGGTTGATATGTGTAGATCTAATATCAATCACAATATTCTATATAATTGGTGTCCAAATACCGCTAAATAGGATTTATCCATTCACATGCATATTTACCTATTATTGCTGTATCCGAGGCTGTATCGTTATTGGTAACTTTACAAGGAATATGCAAAATGTATTGCTGGTTGGTCTTCCATCAGATTTTCAAAAACTGCACATGTACAATCAAAAAAACGTTGGTAGAATGAGGTACACTGAATTAGGAACTATCAACTAAGTACGTTGATTCATTTTCGAGCGGTTCATTTTTGGTCGACAACTTCACAAGAGCGCTGCGTTTAAGATCAGTCAATTTGTGCAACAATTGGCACTCGTGTCCTCGCATTTCCCGAAATATTTCTGCATTTTCAGGGCTATGACATTTTATTACATTTTCACCATTAATTGAAAATCCAAGATCTCCCCATAAAATATAGTGAAGTAAAAAGTTGTTTACGTAAATTTTACTTCATTATATTTTATGGGGAGATCTGGGATTTTCAATTAATTCCGTTTACCCCATTTGGCGATGGAACCATTACAATGACATTTTCACTACATTACCCAACATTTTCGCTCATTTTCGCATCTTCTTCATTTTCGTGAGATTTTTCGAGTAGGTACATATACACTACATTTCGAGAGTAATCTGATTATCGCCTTGCCAGCATCAATTGCGATCTCCACATTTAAATAATAAATGACCAAGAAACGAAAAGAGCCCCAAATTTCATCTCTGGACGCAAAACAATGCATAATTATCAAATCGAAAAGGTACTTTTGAGTTGTCTCTTCATAGCCTTTTCAAAGTCGCCAATGGCATTAATTAAATCTAGTGCAATCACAACGAATTTCTCACTGGATATGACAATATTACAGCGAGAACTTGTCAAATAGAATAAAAGCAGATACATTAACATTACATTACATAAAATCCATAACACCGAATTGCCAAGTGTATTGAGTGACCCTTCAATATTAAAGTATGAATCGTAATGCATACTTTAGGTACAGGGGCACTAGAAGCTAATTACTAAAAGTAGTTATGGAAATGATTTGAAGATGGTTACAAGTTTATTGGTATGTATCCCAGCGTGAATACGCTTTGGGGAACTGGTTTTTGAGCAAAGCAATAAGCGCGATTAAGTATTCATTTTTAAATTCCGGAAATGTTACCCAAATTATTATTAATAACGCTCTAAATATTTCGTGTTTTATAAAAACAAACCAAATCCACATAATTTGTGTATAGAAATTCTCTTCGTGCGCAAAAAAATAACTGACCTTACGTACCAATTTGTATTAGGTATTTGTGAATCAGGTACACAGTTAACCGTAAATGTGACGTAGGCGCATTACAATTGCGATAATAACCCACACACACTAAAAGTTAATAATGGATATTTAAACGGTAGAGAAAGACGGACGTATTAATTTAAAGTGTAAAATTAAAAAAAAAAGTATAATACACGTATTCAAGTGCGCGTCACCTATGCGCGAGTTTTACAAGTCACCAAGAGTATGACCGGACCAGTACTGAATTTATCAAACTATGAACCTCTCAATTGTACCTTGCAATCACTCCCCGTACTTAGTTGTGATCACGTTACTAAGCAACCGTTTAAACATTCTACTCGTGACTATCTCATATGCAGTGATAAAAATCAGGAACGTACTTTCGAGCAGGGGGAGTGGGGAGTTTAGTTTGATCAATACGATACGATAGTGACGATTTTAGTTAATATTCAAATACACCAACGCAAAACGTTCAAGGTTCCCAGAGAATGATTTACAATCAGTTTTGCTTACGGAGATGTAGTTTGGAAATTAATAACGAGATAGTATCTTCTTTCTGGGAAAATGGAAAGCATCAACACTGTACTGGTTTTTTCAAAACAAAAACAAATCTGCTGGGAAGAGATCCATAATTGATTACCGTCATTCTACACTTACGATGAGCAGTTCTGTGTAACATTGAACCTCGGGTTGTTTTTTTATGCTTATAAAAATCTATTAATTAAAGGTATATATTTTAATAACCCCTTGTTGAACTCTTAGGACCCTGCAACGGATTTGCACTTACCACTCGAGATCCCGACCAATAACTTTCAATTTTAAATTTCATGATTAGTCCAGGCGTCAGAGAGATCGAAAATTGTACCAATAATGAAATAATTCCTTAGGGAAGTTTTTTTTTGTCGATTGCTTTTTTTGTCATTACAAACGACCCCATAAAAATTTCTTCCAAAATTTTGACCCGGAAATATGTTATTTTTTTGTATTAACAAAAAAAACCGGGTTTTGTTTACGTTTTTTCAATATACGTCAGAAACTAGTACTTTTACATAAAAATATCCCTATAAGAAATTGAAGAGTTTTAAATTCTCTCTTTTAGTAGGTCCAGTACATTCATCTACAGTTGATGATAAATGATGTGCGGTTACCTTCAATGTTCGGTCTTATGTCTACCATACGAGTGATACAAAACGATACATAATCTTAATAATTCGCTAATCCATGAAAATATATCGCAAAACAATAATGCAGAAGTGTTTTGAAAAAAAAATTTGGTGGCATTATGTTACAACCTTAAAAATTAATAAACAACACAGTAAATTCGTCAATCCTTCATTTTGTGAATCAACAGTTTTTCCAGTTAATAAATTTGATCTTACTTTTGAAGGTGTTTAATTACTTCCACTATACCTAATTAAGCGTTGAATTTGAAATTTGGCCAATGAATTTACTGGAAATTAAAAATATTTCCTCGCATATTTCCTCTTCGATGTGTTTCTCTTCTTCAGACATTGTTTCATCGATAGGGGATAAAAATTATGCAGATATTTTCCTCTGCTTTTTTATGACGGATTTTGTAACCAACGTTATTGAGTCATGTTTAGGGAATGCAATACCGGGATCGCGGGATCCCGAAATACCGGGTTCCCGCAGCATTTTTGCGGGATTAATCCCACACATAATGGAGCGGAATCCCGCGGGATTTGCGTACTGAGGAACTTGTCGACCAAGGGGACGACTATGTTTACTGTTAATGAAACGCATAACGGAGAAGTTACTTTTTAAATAATTGTTAAACTTTTTTCGTTAAAAATGTACTATGTTTTTTGAGGCCCTTTAGAAGTTCACCCTCGAGTTCACCTTTTTATGCTTTACAGGTGAGGTTTTTTTAGCTCTAAGTTAGGCTGAAGGTACTTTTTTGTTAAAATTGTGATCATTAGCGATTTATTTTAATACAGAAGTTCACCTTTTTGGTTATTTGGCAATTTATTTAAAGGGGGGATTAACATCTAACAATCCCGCAAATACCGGGATTGAGATTTTGCTGCGGGATTGCATTCCCTAGCTGTAACTTTTGAACTAGTAGCCCAATCTTCGAACTGTTTGAAATTATGGATTCTACAGGGCACATTCTATAAAAATTTTTTTTCCCCGGTCGATCTGAGACAATTTTTTTCCGGGGCTCAAAAAAAGGCAGTGTATAACCTTCCTTTTTTATCAAAAAACGACTACACCAAAATTTCTGGGGAAACCACTTTTTCTTATTAATTTTGGGGCGTAGAATCCAAAACAATTCGTACTTTTTCGATTAGACTTCTCAAACAAAAGTTATAGACTAGAAACCAATTTCGAAAGAAAATTCAAAGGGCTGTAACTTTTGAACTAGTAGCCCAATCTTCAAACTGTTTGAAATTATGGATTCTACAGGGCACATTCTATAAGAAAAATTTTTTTCCGGTCGATCTGAGACAATTTTTTTTTCGGGGCTCAAAAAAAGGCAGTGTATAACCTTCCTTTTTTACCAAAAATCGACTACACCAAAATTTCTCGCGAAAACACTTTTTCTTATTAATTTTGGGGCGTAGAATCCAAAACAATTCGTACTTTTTCGATTAGACTTCTCAATCAAAAGTTATAGACTGGAAACCAAGTTCGAGAAAAAATTCAAAGGGCTGTAACTTTTGAACTAGTAGCCCAATCTTCGAACTGTTTGAAATTATGGATTCTACAGGGCACATTCTATAAGAAAATTTCTTTTCCCGGTCGATCTGCGACAATTTTTTTTCGGGGCTCGAAAAATGGCAGTGTATAACCTTCCTTTTTTACCAAAAAACGACTACACCAAAATTTCTGGGGAAACCACTTTTTCTTATTAATTTTGGGGCGTAGAATCCAAAACAATTCGTACTTTTTCGATTAGACTTCTCAATCAAAAGTTATAGACTGGAAACCAATTTCGAAAAAAAATTCAAAGGGCTGTAACTTTTGAACTAGTAGCCCAATCCTCGAACTGTTTGAAATTATGGATTCTACAGGGCAGGTGCCGGGATCCCGCAGCATTTTTGCGGGATTACCTAATCCCGCACATAAATGGAGCGGGATCCCGCGGGATTTGCATGACTGAGGAACTTGTCGGCAAAGGGGACGACTCTGTTTACTTTGTTAATGAAACGCATAACTGAGAAGTTATTTTTCGTTAAAAATGTACTATGATTTTTGAGGCCCTTTAGAAGTTCACCGTCGAGTTCACCTTTTTGTGCTTTACAGATGAGGTTTTTTTTAGCTCTAAGTTAGGTTGAAGGTACTTTTTTGTTAAATATTGTGATCATTAGCGATTTATTTTAATACAGAAGTTAACCGCACATTTTTGCTTATTTGGCAATTTATTTAAAGTTTTGCGGGATCCCGCAAATACCGGGATTTAGATTTTGCTGCGGGATTGCATTCCCTAGTCATGTTGTATACCTAACATAAAAATTTAGACGAAGCCATCATAGCTGAAGGTTTTGAATTTTCATTAAAAAGAATCAATGGACGAGTGTCTAAATACAGAATAATTTTTTGTCGATACAGGTAATATGTAATACAATTTCTTTAAATCGAATACTATTGGTAAAGCCATTGAGGTACATTTACCTCCATTGGTAAAGCTATAAAGTTGATTTCTAATGCTATTCTATTAATGATCTTAATGTGAATTCAATATACGTTTTCTCAACATAATCTAAATGTGAAAAACCAGTCATAGGGAGCTTGGGTTGAATTTTATCAATACCTCGTATGTGAAATTTGAAATACATGATCCAGGAGCGTCCTAATAAATGAGGAGGAAACATTTCAACAACTCCAATTAGTACTTCTTTAGATTTTATATTTCTGTGTATTGAGCTTCTACTTTGGTTACTTCAATTGGTCAATTCCGTCTGTGTATGAGGAAATCTACTTTAGTACATTGTAATTTTATGTTAGAAGTCTTTTAGAAACCTCGTAAAGGCAATCATGTATGTCTTGATCTTGATCCGGAATCTATAATTCAAACTTCTGAAATGTATTGGCAAGTTTGTCAAGGCTTCTGATCGTTTTTAAGTTTTTCTAAAGTTCTCCTCTAATTTTTACCACGTTCCCCTCAATCCCATCTCGATTACTTCTTAACCAATAAAATCGTCACTCACGTTCTAAGCGAGATTGAAAGTATTTTCGCATGGGTTCGGTTAAAAAAAGTGTTCCTTTAAAGATTCCGCCTAAGATAATGCCCCTAATGGCACCGCCAAGACAGAGAAAGTATTCTGGCACCTTCGCTAAAACATATTTTGGTGAAAGTCGATCAAAGTTAACTTGCACTAAAAACTAAACAGACCTAACGTGATTGCGTGAATTATGCACTTACTAATGCACTAACAAACACACCTAATTTAATTTCATAATTAAATTTTGTCAGCAAAATAAATTCTCTTGTTATGTTATGCCTCCGGAGGTTTATACCAAGTTACCGCCCGGGGTGCAAAAGTTCTGATAAACTACCCTCGTTTCTCGGCACGTGAAACATCGCTGTATATTTCCAAAAATTCCTAATTTAGTAAAATACCCAATCTTTTGCGAATTTAGCGATTTTTGTGTCGATTTTGACTGGCCTAATCCTTTACAACATGCATTTTAACCTGTGGTTAAAAGAGAATCCATAAGGGGAGTGCATGCGAGAGCGCATCGGAGGTTATGCCACCTTTATTATCAGCTGCTCGCGGATTTATAGGATCTACAAAAAAAAGGTAAATACATAAAATGAAATTTTCTTCTCTTTATGTTCATATACGAGTATTTTTTACGTAAAAACGATTTGAGATATTTTGCAATAAAACACGAAATGGTCCCATTTTTTTGGTCAAGCTGAAAAAAAATATACTTCCGGACCGAATTTTTGGAACAAATTCATATGGTGTTGTTCATGACGATAAAACGAAGCGATTGACCAAAAAATCTTCCCTAGGAATTTTTTCAGCAAAAATATTTCTGACGCCTGGTATAATACAAATTGACTTGGACGTAGGTACAGGAAATCACATAGAATGATGAAGCAAAATTGCTACTTACACAATGAAATTAAACTTATATAACGTGCAGAAGAGCTTTTGTGGTGAAATATAGCAGCGGGTCGTCCTATAAGAGAATAATTTTGAATTCGAATTTTGGAATGCTGAATATCTGCCTATCGCGGCCGGAGTTTGTGACATTACTCTCAGAGAGTTAGTTACCGAAAATGGGGTAGAATTGACCACTCCGAGTACTTCGACTATTACTTTGAGTACCACTTCGAGTGAAATGTACTACACCTACT